TCTTCTCTCTCTCTCTATCTATCTATCTATCTATCTCTCTCTCTCTCTCTCTCTCTCTCTCTCTCTCTCTCTCTCTCTTCAAGACCTCTCTTACAAATACCGATCCAAAAGAAAAAAAGAAAAAAATAGGATGTAAGAATTTCATGCAAGACCTCATGCACACACATACGTGCACATGCACATACACACACACAAAAAAAAAAACAACATATAGCCCCCACCCCAACCGCCTTCCCTTAGGGCCACTCAGGCATCTAGGTGGCGCCTAAGCAGCCACCTTGGTGCCTAGGCGGCTGCATCCGCCTTCTCGAACATTGGTTTAAGGTTCAGCGGTTTTGCTCTAGCCAAAACTCGAGGTGGGAAGGTAGAGATGTGGAGTTTGAAGAGGCTTTCAACAGATTGTGGATGACCCAAGAGTAGTCGAACAGTTGGAGGAAGAAAGACCATCCTTTAGAGACCAGATTTCAGTGATGAAGAGGTAAGGGATGGATTCCTCCATGATGCTGCAAATAATACATCTATTGGCCAATTGAACCTTTTATCCTCTTGAGTTATAGACAGTTGTGTCCTTATCTGAGTTTAAGAGGGAATACTACACCAGCAGGTGTAGGTGGAACTCTACGAGATCATATGGGCCGAACACTCATGACATACTCTGACCACTTTCAAGATATGTTCGAACGAGGACAAAGCCAGTGTCCAGATAATAAAGTTGCAAAGCCTACACCCAAGCTTAGTCACCATCCACATTTAGGGCAATTCCTCAAATATGATCGCTTTATGCAACAGAAAAGTAAACAGATTGTGGTGACTAAAATATTTAAAAAAGTCCTAGAACTTATTAGCAAGCTGAGGATTTCTTTCAATCACTCTTGGAATTAGTCCAATGAAGTGGCGGACATGTAAGCAAATGATGGCCTTTCCAAAGCATTCTTCATTACCGATTACAAAGGTTTTTTGCATTCTTCATTACAGATTACAAAGGATTTTCTTTTTTCCTTTGTTTGTTCAGGATACAGAGGAATTCGATTTCGTATAGCATACTTATTCACATTTTATTTTTGTACATGGACTATATTAGTACAAATACATTCAAATCAATGAAGTTTTGTTAACAATAAAAAATTAAAAAATTACAAAAAAAAAAAAATACACATAACATTTGAACTATTCAACAATTCAGCCTACGTGTATTTTGATAAATCTTAAAATCTATCTTGTCATTTAATGGGTTATTTGAAATTTGATTAAAAGAATGATGGGTAATTTGAATGATGGGTAATTTGAAAGTAGATCAAAAAGTATGAGGAAGATGTTAAATAGTTCAAATCTCAGGCATAGTTTGATAAATTTCTCTGAAAAAGGGTGTCTTTTCTTTCTTCAAGGAAACCAAAGAATCAAGAAACAAAAAATATCAGTAAGGGCAATCAACCAAATCAGAATCTACAAATGCAACTAGCAACAGGCTTTAGGAAGAAGAGATATTAGGTATTAAGGGGAGAGAATCCCAAATTAAGAGAAAAGTTAGTCAATCCCACTTTGTTAACCTATCAGATGCATCATTAGCATATTTGCGTGCATGACAAACATAAATTTTTTTGTAAAGAATCCAAGCCAAAAGATCTCAACCATGATATCAAGTCTACAAGTCTCCAAAAGTGAACAAAAATTCAATGGGGTTATTTAATGACATTCAGCAAATCCTTCACCATGGGTAGCCCCGAGAGGGCTGAAACAATGACTCTCAAACTTAAAGCATAAATGCTTCAGTGGTGCCACATTTATAAATCCAAGCAGGCCCTGACAAGTCTCCCAAACCATCTAGAAACAATCTTATAACTCCACCAACTACTAATGGACTGTGATTTCCAAACAAGTGCCATAAATTTTCATTTTATCTTAAGTTCCATTTGTGATCAATGATCACCACCCAATAATATGAATAAGAATAAAGAACTTAAGAAATAGGCCAGTAACAATATTTTTTCAACATAATGCATAAATTTCCTCTACAGAAATAGAGCTGTAGAGTGTTTGGGTGTGTATGAACCTCTGAAAGCAGTTGTTCTCTCTTGTATTTAACATAATTGAGCCATGTTAATACGATGAATTTATGCAGCAATACTTGTTTGAGGTGATATTTTTCTCCATCGCACAGCCCTAATATATTGAACGCCACATGCATTGCAGTCTTTCAGATACAATCATAAACCACTTCAACATAAGGTTTCACTTCATACAGTTCACATCCCTGGATAATGCAATCATAGACACCCATAAAAGCCTTATAGAGAGAGAGAACGGAGACCCATAATTTCACCATCAACTACAAATTAATGACACCCAAATCATGAAGCTTCCATTACAATTCTAACTGTACACCAAAGGGGAAAAGAAAAAATAATCGATAGAAGAAGTGAAGCATTGATGGAGGAATAGGGAAAACTTACATCTACAATGGCACCAGCTGCCTCACTGAGAATAGGCGAGATATCGAGCAAATCATGTCTGCAACTGTTAAGGGCCAACCCAAAGATGAAGCGCACAAAAAAAATTCAAATCAAGCATCCAAAAAAGTAGAACCTTCTGAAAATTGAGCTGAGAGAGAAACAAACTGAAGAAAAAAACCAATAGTGGAAGGATACAGGAGAAGCTTCCCGTGAGCCTCAGGAGACGATTCATGGAGGTAATCATGTCGATCCAAGTCAACCTCTGAGTTTGAAGAATAAAGACCTGGCATCGATAGTACTGAACGTCAGTTCCAGAGAGAGGAAAAGAGAACCCTAGACCCCTCTGGTGGACCTTTACCCTTCAAATGCCCTTTTTATCTCTGCGTTTTCTTTGACAGTGAGACGAAAAGAAACGCAAGTAAGCTGGTCATCTAATTTTATAATAATGCAACGTGACACGTGGTGCTCCTCCGTTCTCTCTGTGCCAAAACATTGAAACTCGGAAATAATCTACCCTTTCTCTCTCTAAAACCACATTTGCGCGCTCCTCATTCTCTCTCTCTAACACGGAAAAGTATATTCCTCTATGTGTACTAGAACTGGGCCTTTCAAACCTGAAATTGCCTAATTCCAACTTGTATTATAGCATGCATCGACGAGAAAGACGTTTCATATACCACTTATAATAGTAAATTGTAGCTTTAGAAATACAAATATAAATATGGGTAATTATCGTAAATATATCTATATTTTAATTTAATTGAAAAAAAATCTCAACTTTCAAAGCCTTGTATACACTATTTTTTTTTTTTTTTTGAATTTTTTTTTTAAAAAATGACTTTTACAGCCGTCGTTTTATTGTAATTCATAATAAGTTTTACGGTAATTAAAATACCGTAATAACTTAAAGTAGTATTACGGTAATTGAAATACCGTAATAACTTGAAATAGTATTAGTAATAGATAACATTTTTTTTACAGCATTCTTTTTACCCTAATTAGGCACTATGTATGGCTTCCTTATCGATGAATGAAGGAGAGGAGAAAGAGAGAAGGGTTTTACGTATGTGAGAGAGAGATTTGAGAGAAAAAGTGTGGAGAGAAAGAGAAAAAATTTAGGGGAAAATGAAAATGAACCAGAGATAAGGACGGACAGGAAAATTGAAAAGGATAAAGACGGCTTCTTGGGGGATTGAGAGAGACAGAGGAGGAAAGTTTAGAGAAAGAGTGGTACGTGGGATTAAAAGTGTCGAATAAAATAAGTTAAACGGAAGTTAACGTACTTTATAAAATAGAAACATTACGGTAGAAAGAATGCCGTAAAGAAAATGTTATCTATTAGGGTACTTAAAGTACCGTAATACTACTTCAAGTTGTTACGATATTTTAATTACCTTAATACTACTTCAAAATATTAAGGTATTTTAATTACTGTAAAACTTAATATGAATTACGGTAAAATGACTACCGTGAATGTTATTTTTGTAAAAAAAAAAAAAGACTCGAAAATGAAGAAAAATTGTGTAGAGGTTTTTAAAAGTTGAAATTTTTTTTAAAATTAAGCTAAAATATGGATATATTTACGATAACTACCTTATAAATATCTATGATTTTTTAGGTAGTTGGGCCCGTTTGGTTCCATGGATTTGGATTTCAGGGATTCACTTTTTCAAAAAAAAAATTAAAACGCATTTGGCTGGGGAATACGGATTGACATTTCTACTTTTTAAGTATAAAAAGTGGAAATCTGAATCCACTGACGGAATAATGGACTTCAAAAATGGCGGTAAGTTTGATTGCACACTCATTTTGTAGTCTTCTCTCACAAATCAATCCAAAACCATCAAGCCATCACCCGATGATATCTTCTCTTTCTCATGTTCCTGCAAACGCTTATCTTCTTTGTGCTATGAGGAAGCCATAACATTGCGAACGATTTGCCATTGGAGATGGGAATCAAAAACCCAAATTGACAAATGGGGCAATGGTCAAATTAGTTACAAACTCCTCTACAAAACCCTAGAGAAATGGGAGAAACTTATTTGATTTTGGAAGATGATTCGCCAAGAAATGGGCCATCTGGTTATGTTCAATTGTGGTGCATTTTTTCTCACTAGTTCTAGGGTTTCATCTCTCATGTGTTGCTCTTACGAGCTTCGAAAGATCCCCTGTCTCTAGTTGGGTCTTTCTCCCGATGGTTCACAATTGAATTTTTTTGATCCAGAGTATGGTATTGTACAATGTGCGTGCAAGCCTGAATTTTTTTAGATACAAATTCTTCATAAGGGTATTTTAAGTCATTTTGATGTTCACCCAATAAGTTTTAAGTGAAAAAAACTAACAATATAATGAATAGTAATATAAGTGAAATGGGAGCCTTCAGATCTTCATCATGTGGTTCATAATATATATCGTTATTTTAATTTTAATTATTTTTCTATAAATCAGATCGTAATGAAATTTTAGACATAGGTACTAAAAATATGGGGCACAAATTAAAAATATAAAAAAAAAATATTTTCTAAAATATAATATGCCTGAAATACCCCTAAAAAATGTTCAGGGTAGTTTGGTCATTTTAAATTATTAAAAATAATGTTTTATGTTTTTATATGGTGCGCATTAGTGTTAGGTACATACACCCAAAATTCATGTTAATCAGATTTATATAAAAAGATTTAAAAATCAAATAGTGATGTGCATTTTGAACCACATGATGGAGATCTGATGGCTCTCATTTCACCTATATGCTATTCATTATAACTGGCCAGTTGTTGTAAGGTTTCATATCAATCAAATTTATATAAAAAGAATTAAAATTTAAATAGTGATGTGCATTTTAAACCGTATGATGAAGATCTAATGGCTCATATTCCACCTATACACTATTCATTATAGCTGGCCAACTGTTGTAAGATTTACCCATATATATATAAGCAATGATTTCATGCAACTGTTGTATCATAATATAATGCAACCACATTAAAAAACCATGTTAGAGATATTTGTTTAACACAATTTTTTAGATGTATATTCTTTTCATTCTAAAGAATAATCAAAAAATAAAATTTAGAAAAAAAACACCCTAAAAAGTGTTTTTCTAGCCCAATTAATATAAGCCGTCCATTTTAATGAGAAGGTTAGATATAGGCCTCAAAAGGATTTTTTTATTCCCAAAATTCTTATATAGTGTTATCATCATTAAATTAACAATGCTAAAAGACAAAAAAGATATTTTGAATGTGTAAAGGTCTAGATCTTGAAATTCACCGAATGGACTAATTTTGACCATATCTAAGGTGCAAATTGAATTTGTTTTGCATAAAATTGATTATGAGGATGAAGATAATGGGTGTGCAAAATTTGGAGCCATACAAATACTACAAACATGGTTTTCTAGAGGTATCATTGCATTATACTATGATACAACCGTTACATTGGATCATTTCTTATATATATATATATATATATAATGATTTCATGCAACGGTTGTATCATAGTATAATGCAACCGTACCTCTAGAAAAACATGCTTTTGACATTTATATGATCTCAAATTTTTCACACACACTCTTTTCATCTCAATAATTAATTCCCCCTAAAAAAAAGTTAAATTTGAATACTAGATATGGTCAAAATGAGTCCCCTCCAAAAACGAATCTAGACCATTCATTTTGTGAATTTCAAGATCTTAGCCTTTATAAACTCAAAATCATTTTTTTCTTTTTGAACATTGTTCATCTAATGATAATAAAGCCATCCAAAAAAATTGGAAATGAAAAAAGCCTTCTAAGGCCTAGATTTAAGCATCTCACCAAAACGAACGGACTATGTCGATTGGGCTAAAAAAAATACTTTCTAGGTTGTGTTTTCAATCCTTTTTTTTTA